CAAGCAGTATCATCTCCTTTGCCATGTAATCACGTATATATTCGATTTAACTCTACACTCAAACAAGTTTTTTGGCTCCCAAAGAACGCCTAATTTGTAAATAGGATCTGCATGATATACTCTAGATGTGTTACCTTACTAAAGATGAAACCAGTTCAACAGCTTGCTGTATTCTTGTCGCAGTCCCCTAGTGTTTGACTGATAACCATCCTTCCCATAACGTTCCCAAAGTTGTTCCCATTGTTAAACTGCCTTTCAAACTGGAGACAAACCATCAAGTATTTCGTTTTCCCGTACCACAAAACTTGCTCAAATGTTGCCATTTTGCGTAGGTTGCAGAAGAAAAGCTTTCTCATAACATCAGTGACTCGCTCGGCAAACTCCCGGCGTGGCTTGACGAAGGAAAGTTTCACACGTGCAGAAACTTTTGAATACATTAGTTTACATTCATTCCAAGCGCATTACCATTGGACAAATGCAAATTTTTGCAAAATCACCAACAAATTACACATCGACCGTTATTCACCTGGAACTTTAGGCCCCGACGGAGGCATTTGAAAACACAGCTTTATTGCTACGGTTAGCCCTACAGTCCACAGTAATCCGTCACGAAAGCGGAGCTTTTCGAAAACGGTCTTCGAACTGGAGTAATTTGAAAATGCCGGCTTTGTGTTTTCGTATGGACGGAAAACGTTTTTTAAACGGAGCTTTTCAAAAACGATGGCATGACGATAATGATGTGATTTCCCTGACTTAGTTTTACTCAAACACAAATCCACTGAAAATGGTCGGTGATTGTTGCTTTTTCAAACTTCTCCGGCGTAGNCGTAGGTTGCAGAAGAAAAGCTTTCTCATAACATCAGTGACTCGCTCGGCAAACTCCCGGCGTGGCTTGACGAAGGAAAGTTTCACACGTGCAGAAACTTTTGAATACATTAGTTTACATCTCATTCCAAGCGAATTACCATTGGCCAAATGCAAATTTTTGCAAAATCACCAGCAAATTACACATCGATCGTTATTCACCCGGAACTTTGTGCCCCGACGGAGGCATTTGAAAACACAGCTTTATTTCTTCGGTTAGCCCTACAGTCCACAGTAATCCGTCACGAGAACGGAGCTTTTCGAGAACGGTCTTCGAACTGGAGTAATTTGAAAATGCCGGCTTTGTGTTTTCGTATGGACGGAAAACGTTTTTT